GTTTGACATGTGATGCCTTGTACGTTGGAGAGAAACTGGCAGACAATTAGGCGTACGAGTGAGAGAACATCTGGCTAGCAAAAGAAGAGAAAGCACAGCTGCACCGCTTAGTAAACACAGAAGGGAAAGTCATGCTGGTCATGATTTTGAAGTAAAGTGTACGATATTAGCATACGAAAACGATATTGGTGCGAGAAAGACCCTTGCGAAGCTTTCTATATAGGGCAACGTAATTGCGTGCGTATGAATAACAGAGTTGATGTGCAGTGCTCCAGAGGGACGCCGACTTCTTGCCCTACATCCGTCTTTGTGAACTATGATAATGAGAACGTCATGCAGTGCACGTACGCTCTTTATAAGCAGTGCACGACTGGTTGTCTCATTTATTCTACTGTCTCTGGAGGGCATCAAGGGAGGCTGTTGAGCGAGAAGCGGTGACGCTGGTGGAGTTGAGGTAAGCGACCCAATCTTGGAGTTCCCACTCCTTAGTTCATTAGCCTACGTACTTACTTGGTCAAATGTGGATCCATATTGAGCGGATAGGTTGAGCATTTTCAAAACGCTTTCAGGCCTTTGAGGACGACGATATAGTCGAAACGTCAGGCTCAATAAAGATTCCACCGTACAAAACCTGTGTGGCACACAAACAAAAACAACTGTTCAACATACAAAATGCCCAGGTTTCAAGAGAGGCAGACATGGAGAACTGTTCACTGTATTTCTGATTCAAGACCCGCATATTGTCGTGTTGGTGTCAGCTATGGATTGAAGATGCTGTTGAGGGGAACTGTTCATAATCGTTTCCCTTCATACCTTGGCGTTCGAGAATGCAGAATCCACACATTGACGATTATGCATGTCGCCATATGCAGGCTATGTGGGACATTGTGGCGCCTATGTGTGTCGCCACCTACTACATTGATTTTTCGTGCATGCCCAGCTCACAAGCCATACATTAACATAATCGTAAACGACCTAAGTTTGGCAGAGGATTTCTAGGCGGTGTTTCGGTTTGATCACATATCTTCATGTTGTGAAAATTTTATATCAATATTATGTATTAGAGTAATTAGTGAAAGCAAATAGTGCCTTAGATCATACAAAGTCGAACAAAGGTTGAGTAGAGTGAGATATCTGAGCTGTGAGTTCTAGGCTTATAAGTTACTAGAACTCTGAGAGAATTCACACGTGTCTAATAAATTCGTACTGTTAGCCCAAACAGAATTTGAGTGAACAAGTTGATCGTCAATCGTAGAACTAGACTATTTCGCGTCAATTTGCTCGTGCAACATGGCACGTCAGCTCAGGAGTTCCAGCGGTGCAGAACTCGTCGGCTGTCGATTGGAAGACTGTTTCTCCTTGGGCACATGTGACCAAGTATCTGAAGTAATTCTACGATCTCACGTACACCAAGAAGTTTTTTTTTTCGGGTCTAGAGAGCTTGTAGCTGATTAAAGAGCTGTGGATCCGATTGATATGAAGTGTGGATTTGGGAATCTGAAGATTCAGCAGTGCGCAAATCCAGATTTTATATCCATCAGGTTTATTATATTCCAAGTTAAACTCATATGAAAGGAATCACTTACCGAGTGGCTGCGTGCTTCTTTTTCAATGCAGCTACGATGTTGTTGCGGGATTCGGTAACTTCAGAGCGAATTCCCTATAAAGATAACCTTCAGAATCAAAATTCCAACTTCCTTGTAACAAAAAAAAATAGGTTACTCGGAGAAGCGCACAGGTTGTGGAAGAGTAGCCCATTCATTCTATCAGAATAACGATAAAAGGTGGCTGCTTCTAACAGCCTTGAAGGCAGAGACCTTGTCCGAGCCCGTGGGCGAACCGGCCCTACCGTAGGCCCTCCCGATTTTCGGGGCCTATTCCATGCCTATTAAAACCTTCTACAAAACAAAAACTTCCACAACTGTGGCACGGATGGGGCCAGAGTTTGGACTAGGGGGGCGGAGCTCAAATGCTCAGCGCTACCCCTAGCTTCGAGCAATTGAGGCGAAATACGACATTAAACATAATCACAAAAAACTGGTACAGTTCACAAATTCAGAGAACTAAACATCAGGTTTCTTTAGGTTCGGGAAAGCTCCCTTCCTCGATATGCCTTACAGGGTATGACTCACACAGGAAGGAGTCTGACCATGGCTATTAGTTGACATTCCATTACAAAAATGCCTGCTACTGTGCGTATCGGTCGCTGTGAAGCCCTAGCGGTAGATTCTGAACCCCTCGGTGCCAAGGGGTCCTGAATTTCGAAGCGCTGAGAAAATACAAATGCCTGAATATCGGCTAGTCCTCTAAAGACAGCGACCACATGATTAGCCTAGAACGCGAGCTAGCGCTCTAGATAGAATGTTCTCAAGAATAAATAAGCTTCTTTTAGAGTTGTACTGTTCTCATAAAGGCAACGCTTAGCTACTTAGCTAGACCGTGTATAATTCATAGAAATTACGACTACATGAATCGGTCTCTATGGCGTTCGTCATTGGGAACAATCCCTGAGTAAATAGGCGCATGGCATAGGACCGAGCCTAGCCCACTCATACAGGTTTTGTAGCTAAGCGTTTATGCTTCTAAAACCCTCTATGCGTTCCAACTCATGGAATAGGCCACCAAAGCACTCGTCCCCCTCATGTTTCTTAGGTATCCTTTCTAGGTACAGTTGGGCTCCTTCTGCACCTTCATCATCTTTACGTTATCCTAAATTTCTTCTGGTATAAAGCTGGTTACTTACAGCAAGGATCAGCTTTCGTAGCTCGGGATCGGTGCATTTGTCATCTCCTTCAACAGCTCTCTTCTTGCGACCACCACAACCGCAGCCGCCGCCTCCTCCTCCACTGCATGGTGAAGGGATCTGCAACATAATTAGAGGATAAGAGTTTAAAATGAAGTGCCGTTGTCATGGATGCCTACGACTCAAGTCTGCAAGAACTGAAGACCATAGGACCCTAGGGAGCTGACGTCAAAGTCAATCTTACACTTCTTTATTGCTACTCGGAAGTGTTTGTCAAC